CCAGTTTGGACCACAGGAGCGCTAGCACCGCCGGCTCTGAACTGAAGAGCACCGGCCCACAGGTGCACCCCGTGTCCACGTCCCTGTCCTCGCTGCACTCAATGGCCCTCGAACCCCAGCTGCACCTCAAAGGAGACCCCCATTACTCCTTCAACCACCCGTTTTCCATCAATAATTTAATGTCCTCTCCAGAGCAACAGCATAAACTGGAATTGAAAGCGTATGAACAAGCGTTGCAATATTCCTCCTATGGCTCAGGCATGTCTTCCAGTTTGCCCATGGCCGGGAGAGCCAGCATGGACCCTTCGGCTTTAGAGGCCTCTTACTACCAAGGTGTGTATTCCAGGCCTGTTCTTAATGCATCTTAGTCAGTTGGCGACGAAAACAAAAAACGTTATTTTATTTTTTGCATGCACTTGGTGCAAAAGAACTGTTACTTTAAAATATAACAAAATGTGTGTGTATAATAAAATATTGTAAAGTGTTCCCAATGATTGTTTATCCCAGTTATAAATCATTGCTAGTGTATTTAAATCATTTTGAGCTTGTAAAATACTTGTTGTGATCCCTAAACCTGTAGGTCCCCTTTTGTGTTACAACGTGCACGAATGAAGGTCAACTTTGGTCTTGTTGCTGGTATAAAGCGATGCCCCTGTCTGTTGCAGATGTATTTGAATGTTGTCATTTTACTTATTATTTTTGGGGTTTACTTGCCTCGTTTTGACAAAAAACAAAACAAACAAACAAAAAAAACACTTCCCAATCTTGTATTGAAATAAATTAATCCAAGGTGGAAATGCATTGTGAATAAAATGTATTTCTTAATCAAGCAAAACGTCTGTGACATTTTTATACAAAGAGGTGAAATCATGAAGGCGCTTTTATGCATGTATTTTTTCGTGAAAATACATTCGCAATTGATTAAAAAAAAAAAAACTAGATGATAATTCAATAAGAATATCAGATTTTCTTTATTTCGATTCTTTTTTTTCTTAGAAATAATTATTCTATTTCTTCTTTTGCATTTGCATTATTTTGTGTCCAAGCTGTTAAAAGTAATGCACGCTCAATAATGATTTGAAATAAATAGATGCTACTTTAATCAAATTAAATTCTTCAAAATATGCTCTGCTTTCAAAGCCAGCTTTTGTGCTGAGCCCGTCTGGTTTTGACTCGCTGTTGGGAAAAGACCAAGAGAAAATCCAAGTCTAACACACGCGCAGCCTCAAAGACTCGCTTCATAAAAGATCCGATCTCGTTTTAAATGGGATTTTAAACAATATCATAGAGAGGCCAAATCATCTTTTTGTGCAGCGTAACCTACATGATGGGCACGTGAACCTGAACAGATTTGACTTTGATCATGGTATTTTGTATACACGCATTTTGGCTGAGTAGCCGTGAAATTCATTTAATTATCTTGTAATTCCCCCCCGATGCGTAAATAAAATGGATAATTGACTTCAGGCTTGAGAAATCTCGATATGTGCAGCCTACAAAATAAGGTTAAACAGCTGATGTTTGTGCTTTTTCTTTTTAATTCGATTTATAAAAAAAGAAAACATCTTTTTTCCCTAAAGTAGGGTCCGGTGCAGTCGATTTATCTGATATTGAACTAGAGCTCGCGACAGAAATATTTAGTCTATGTGAAGATGGAAAAGTTTATAATAATTGCAATAATCGATACTGAAATTTGTAAATAATAATAATAATAATAACAACTTATAATTGTAGAAAATAAAATTGTACTTTTTGGGGGTAACGATCCAATACTGTAAGGATTAAAATCACGTTTAACTGCATGTTTAAATAATCGAAATTAAATTCTCTCTTGAGCACGGCATGTGCATTATAAAACATAGTTTTACATTTTATATATTTACCTGAGAATGTCTAAATATCTAACAGAAATGCCTGCTTACACATATCAAATAAATCATGTGAGGTTTAGGGGATTGATTCAATAAAATACAAATTCTAACTATAAATAAAATACAAAACTATTAATTCTTATCATTTTAGTTAGCTCATACTCTTTAATGCACATCATTTAAAATAACTACATTACAGTTCATACATTGTTGTATCGCTGCGTCAGGTGTGATTTGATTATGTATATTTGGTTTTCACGTAATCAAATGCTTTATCGGAAACTTTGTTTTATTGAAATCATTTACAAATCTTTGTGACAGAAACCGTGACTCCAAATGGTCTGCTCACGCCAATGAGAAGCTGATGATGATAAAGAAAGCATTATTAATATGCGCTTCTGAAAGTCCAAGAGCAAGCCAACAGTTTACAAGGGCAGTGCAGAAATATTTAAGGGAAATATTAGGGGAAACTCTTTACGAGTGCATTGAAAGGAATAACAAACTGCTCGTTTATTTCCCATATAATCGTATCATTTAAATACTGGCATGTTTTATTTAGATATGCAGCCATTTGCATGGGAATTGTATTGTTTGTAATTGACGCAGTGATTGCGCAGGGCAACATTCCACGGTTTTATTTCGATATAACGCTTTTCGACATTTATATGTTGCATTGCGCAATTAGTGCACATCTTTAAACGAGCCAGGCTTAACATATGCGATCAGCAGGCAGCGTTCAAACTTATGTCCCCCATCAAAAGCTCTGGCGCTTTCTTCAGCCTTATGGAGCAAAATTTCGACAACAATCCGCATGGTCCTTTAGTTCAAAGCGCCCATCAGCGGGTCTACCCGTAGACCTTTCTTCTCCCTCTTTTCATTCTGGGTTTGGAAAAGCACTACAGGGCCAAGGCGCTCCTAATACCTTCTGATGGGGATTGAATTCATTATCTCCAATAACACAATTGTGCTTGGCCAACGAAAAGAGCAAAGCAATACCCCTTCAGAATCACACACACCAAAGAAAGGGCCTTTCAAAGGGCGAGAGAGAAGAGGGAGAGGTCTCTATCCGACATCAGCTTTAGAAGCAGCTGCTTTTCCATTAAAAATGATACGGGAGAAGTTTATTAGAGCTTTGTGGCCCTCTAATATGCATCGACCATGTCAGGTTGGTGGTCTCGCACGTGTTTTGTGTCTTCATTATTCTACAGCAGTAGCTTTTGGAGAGAAACGGCCAGTTGCTTTCGTTGGAGTTTCATAGCATGGTGCATTTCTTCTTAGTTTCATTTTTTACAATTTTATATAATTTATTGTTCGACGAATGTAAGAATAGTGCATTTGAAAGGATGCAATATTTCAAATGAATTACGCAAGTAGTCTTCATTTGCACTCTTAAAAATAAAGGGTCTTTAGATTTTTTCTCACTAATAGAAATGGCTCAAGAACAGTTCACTGAAAGGTTCTTTGGGAAACCAAAAATGGTTCTTCTATAGAAAAACAACACTTTGGGACCTTTAATTAAATTTAAAAGATTAGCAAATGAGCTTAAATAGGCTATTATGAAATTCTGGTACTCTGGTCTAAATTAATATTTATATTTTACATTTATAATAAAAGGTTTTATTCCATTTAGAATCGAAGGCTATCCGTGTCAACAATGCACAATTTTATCATTCCAAACAACACAAATTTATCAGCTTGATCAGAACCTGGGAAGAAGAAAAAAAACGTCCCATAGAAAATGTGCACTATATTTATATAAATGAACAGCTACTATGAGAAGGACAGAAGCAGACAGAGAAAAAGAGAGAGCTTGAAATATTTGGTGTCGTTATAGCAACCGGATCAGTGGTGCTTTTCTCTAAGGGTCATTCAATATGTGCAGCCGAAACACGGTTTTAATTAAAGCGTATAAAAGTTTTTTTGTAAGTCGATGATCACGCACACTGAATTTGGGGATGGTAATGGGGCATTTCTCTCCACATGCCCCAATAAACACAGCCTCCACACCCACTCGGAACATCCACATCTCAAACAAATCACTTAAAACATGTACATCTCAAACAAATCAAACGCACATCTCAAAACAAAAGTTTTCGGCCCCCCCAAAAAAGTTGCACCATCAAAGGGCAAGTGTTTTCCATAGGGATGTGGCGGGACACCCAGGTTGTGCCATCTCCACGGTAACCTATAGGAGGAAAATCGACAAGCTTGTCCTGGTGTCGGGCGTTTATTTGAGGGGAGGGACACTCAGCGGCACGTCTGGCCTAAACAGCCCTTTCTTTATTCACCGGTGCATCTAACATATTTCTGAGTACATAATCGATCAGGCTGAAGAAGAGCTCTGCTGAAGGACAGACAGGGAAAGGCAACATTAAGCATGCTTATATAATTGTTTGGGGTATCTAATCATTGGTAAAGGTCGACAGATCTCTTTGGCCCATTTTATGTTTGTAAATTATCAGCATGCAAAGCAGTTCCCATTAAACACTCGCAACACATTAATAAGAATTCCCCCCTTTTTTTCTCAGAACTGCCATTCCCACAATATACTGTATATCTGAATGTGCACTTCCAAAATTAGCTGACTTTTCTTTTTTTACTAAAAATGCTGGGATATGATTTTAAATCGTGTTTGTGATAAACAATACACATTTTAAGAGCACATTAAAACATATTAAAAGTAAAGAATTGTAAATATTTTAACAATATTTCACTCAGCACAATATTTAGTGTATGTAACTTGAATTAAAAAGACCGTTATTTATGGGTTTGATTGAAAATAGTTGTGTTTAGAATATGATTGTCGTTTTAAAATGAATTTGAATTAAAAACTACATTTAGAAAAAAAATGAAGACTGATATTTCTCCTCAAAAAGACTTATTTCATATTTACTTAAATAAGAGGGTTTGTGCGAGTCATGTAAAACAAACAAATAATTAACAATTATACAACTATATTCTCTATTAGTGGACGGCATAATTAGATTTGATTTGATGATTTTTACATCCTATAATTTCTATTGCCAATATGTCTAAAAACACTGATCACAGAAACAATTTATTATTAAATAACATTTAAGAGTAAATACCGAACAAGCATTCATGATCATAAATACTGATTGTGTCAACTGATACACTGTATATTGTTGCTATAACTCCCTTTATTAATTTGGGAAAAATGTCAAATATCTATAGTCCAATTTGTCCATCCCCAAATCCCAGCTTTGTCCAAAAATAGCTGGCTTTCTATGAAAAATAAAGTCTCAGTACCTCACAAAGTAATCGTCCAATCAAATCTCCCTTGTTTAACCAGACTTAACGTCACACTGCAAGTAAAAATCGACCGAGAGGAGAGAAAAAAAGAATGAAAGAAAGAAAACCTTTGGAGTAGCAGATAAGAGTGTGGAGGTAAAGGGCTGGCAGCAGTAGTTTCATTGGTGACTGCAGAGAGAATGTGGTTAAACATTTACGATGGCGTTTCTGAGCCTGGGCTGGAATGAGAACAGGGCTGAGAGAAAGAATGCCACTTCCAGCCTGTGTTTGCCCAGGCCAGGCTTGGGCTGTTTGCTCAGAGTTAAACGCTGCAGCCTGGTCACCAGATGTGGCCGTCTGCTCGGGTCGCCCGACGGCCAGTCAGTCAGATGACTTTCCGGACACTGCCAGTGCCCACTTTCTTCCGTAACACCTCCACCAGCCGCTCCAACCTGAGAACGGAAAGGCAGAAATAAGTGATTGTGTAAATGAAAGAAGAGCAAGACAAACGCAGGCCAGCTCTTAGCTGTTTCCTCCTCACACAAGGGCGCTCTTGGAGGAACGGAAAGATGCGGAGAGTGGATGTAGACACTTCTTAAAGTGGGTGAGACATCCATGCTGGTGTCAATGCCCAAATCCTCCAAATATCCGCCTGCATTTACTCCGGCAAACAGAAGTGTGTGTGGTGTCATGTGATTGGTCGGGGTGAGTAAACCTGTGCTTATGAGGGCGATGATCCCACAGACTCTGTGGAAATGGAGGGAGATCTAGAAGGGTGAAGGGATTCTTCAGGAGCAAATGAATAATGAGGAACGAAAGCAGACCTGCTTCTCTCCATCCAAACAAATGCTGCTTCCGCTCCAAAAAATACACTCTTCAGAAACTTTGACATTACTTCAAATGATGTTATACTATGCAATAAATAAAAAATGTGATAAGACAAAATAGATTAAATCAGGACTCTTAATTTATATAAATAAAACCGAAACTCACTTAAAGTGGCATTACTTAAAAAATGAACATGAATTAAAGAAAAGGTTTCTGATCATTATTTGGTATAATATTCAAGCTGAAATCACTTTTTATATCAGATTATAGTTTATATATTAATTTTGTGTGTGAATATTTCAAACAGAATTGAGATTTGCTTATACATTTTATTTAAATTCAATGCATTGTTTGTTATGTCTATATATGAAAATGAATAAAAACTATATAGACATATAAAAAAAGAAATAAAAAAGACCAAAAAAAGCACAACAAAACTACTAATACTTTCTCTCTCTCTCTCTATATATATACACTGTATATATCTATATCCATATCTATGTATATATATATATATATATATATATATATATATATATATATATATATATATATATATATATATATATATATATATATATACACACATCTATAAAACACAAACATTTTTTAATGCATTTTATTTAATGTATAAATCTCAAATTTGTTCAGGTTGCAATCGCTCAATTAAAGATGACAGACAAAAAAATGAAAAGAAAATTGTATGCATAAATTACAGTAATTTATTTTAGACAATGCATAAATTAAATTACAAAATTTTTACACTTTAAGAAGAAAACATACGGTACTTCTCAATTTTTTAGCCATAAGCACAATGTTAAGTTGGCACGATTGCTTATAAGATCCAAATCTCTATAATACTCATATTACAGTACTTAATGCAGTGATCTGAAAATCAGACTTGAAAGTTAAGCATTTAATAAATTCATTCATTACATTAAATAAAGGTGTGCATAACAAATGTAGAAGGTTGTAGAGAGCTCAGGATTGTTAAATCAAGCTTTTTCAAATAAAAAGAGCCGATAACATTGAGTTCAAGCGGTCTTACAACAACAAAGCAAGCCCAGCTCTATCAGAGCCTTCATAGCAATCCTGACAAGACGTGCTTAGCATAGCCAGTGCTAGTATTGTCTACTGAGGTTTCTCAGTCTTATCAAGTGAGCATATGGGAGTGGTCTGACCCAAGCTTTGCTCCCGCCGAAGTCTCCACCTGTTTTCCCGTACAGGGAGATTGAAGAGCAGCCGCAGGACCATATGCATTTCTCAGAGGCGCTCTGTGGCCGAGAGAAATGTGTCACGTTGGAGCGAAAGGCGGGAAGATGAGGGGGAGGGGATGGTTTAAAACAGCAGACAAATATTTATAAAAGGTCTCTGTTGCTAAATGAACAGGCCACACACATGAGCATATATACATATACAAGCAAACAGCCTTCATATTACACACGCAATCCACTTCCACCCAAAACACACATACATGCAGACAGACACCACAAGACTGTCTCTCCTCCATAAACATGCACGGAAACACCTTTCCCCCTTGTGTGCACATTTTTAGCATTTTAAATATATTCATTAGCCTCCCTGTCATGTTTGCACAATTAACAGGTCTGCCTTTCCGTGGCAGGATCTCCAAGGTGTGCCTGCGGGCTGGGGAGGATTTGGTGAACACTGTTTGCAGAGAGTGGCCGTAAACCCAAACATACACGCGAGGGAAGAGCCGGCAAAAGCGCAAATCCCGATTAAGAATTCACAGAGTCGCAAAACCAACAATTCCAGCTCAAATAACACAGAGTAAACAGCAGCCGTGCATAAATTCTAAACAACAGCACGTTTTATGTATGGCACGACAACATATCCATGTTTCAATGCAAAAGAAGATCCTGTTTGTAATCTATAATTATGCCACGACAATGCCTGACAAAAAACGCTTGCATGAAATGCTATAAGATCATACGGATAACTCAGGCGACTGTAGTGGGGTTTTTAGCGATGCACGAGATGCAGAACGGGACAAAAACAGGCCGCTGAGCAGGGAGCCTGTCAGACTGCAGCATGATACGACCAGTGTTATCATTTTTATTAATAATCTGTTTTTATTTTTTTAATATTTATATTATATAAACCCATAATCTTGGGTCATTTACCTTTGATAGTGTTTAAAGGTCCTTGGAAAGCCAAGTAAGCGAGTGTGAGTGTTTACTGCAGTCACTGCTTCTGTGGCTGGTTTCTCTGTGTATTAAAGTGAGCAGAGCTTTCACATCTGCTTCTTCACCTTATCTCTGCTGGACTTCAGACCTTCACAGCAGATTAGATTGGGTTTGCTGGCGTCACACGGGGCCTAGTCTTAGTTAAGCTAACTAGTCTTTACACACGGCACGAGTCAGGCTACAGGACCGCTTGGGAGCTGTCTATGTAGGCTGCATTATTTGTTATGCTGACTTCTGAGAAACTATCGTTTAGCTATAGAGAAGCTTTTGTTTTTATATTTTATTTTATTATTTTAATTTTAGTCAAAGTTTTAGTAATTTTGTTGTGTGTGTGTTTGTCATTTTTACTATATATATATGTCTATATAGTTTGTATGAATGGTTATTTTAGTTATAGTTTTAGTTATTTTAGTCCATCAAGTTAAACTACATTAAAAATGAGAAATGTTCTCTCAGCACCTAGCTGAAATAAAATAAGTGCATTTATAATAAAATAAAAAAATAAAATAAATATTTTATTTCTGTTAAAGTGTATTTTATTTCAAGTAACAAAAGCTTTTTTGTAATGGTTTTAGTTTTAGTAAACATCCCTAATAACCCCAGATGGGACGTACTAGCCGCAGCCCATTTGTGGGCCATCAGGCCAATGAAAAGGTCCTTTGTGCGCTTCTCACGGCCACATTTGATTCAGCAGGTCATTAGACATTCAGCTCAGCTCCTCCATCAATGGGCCTGGAGGAACGGCACTCAAGTGCCACATTCTGGGCCGGCGCTGGGCTTCCTCCTCCCTGGTTTGCCCCACTGTAGGAGCCTGGAGGCCGATCGCATCACCCCTGCATTCTTCTCACCTTCATGTGACGAGGCCCACGTCAGAGCGGCTTCCCACAGGCCACCCGGAACCCAGTGAGTGCAGGGCATCCATCTGAATGTCAGCTAGCGGTCAGGTGTGACCGGCGCGGTTCCCCTCCCGCTTACTGAATACAGTCCCAGTCGTACACTCACGCAGAAGCTGACACTCATGTTATCCGTTGCTCTATGAGACAAAATAGCCGTCACCTCGACCCTAACCATCACTACATGAGGGCTCACTGCAAGAAAAATGTGTTGTTTCAAATTCTGTCACATTTACTCACCCCATAAACTCTAATTAGATTGTTTTTTTCTGGAACACAAAAAGAGGATTTTTAAAATAATCTTAATAATTTAAATTATTTTCCATACAAAAGGTCATACACTCTTAGACAAAATATGCATAAATTGTACCTTTAGGGGTAGAACAGCTCATCACTGTGGCAGCACCATCGAATGAACATCTTTGTAGTTTATTTACACTTAAAATTCATAGTAGTATCTTAAGGGCACATAAAGGTACAAATATGCAGCTTTTAGGGGTAGATAAGGTGCAAAGTTGTCACTTAAAGGTTACTGTCCCAGTGATAAGATGCTGTGTAGTTAAAGGTACAATTCTTGCACATTTGTTCTGAGCAAAGTTTTATACTTATCTAAAACTAAAAACAGAAAAAAACGTTATTACTTGACATAAAACAAACTACAATAAAAACCTAGTCTTATTTGACTTCCGTTAGTTGCCAAAGCAACATTTCTCATTTTAATTTAATTTAAATTGATGTGCTAAAATAACTGAGACTGAAATAAAAATTCATTACAACTATTCAAAATATTATTGAAAAAAATTTGATAAAAACAACAAACAACCAAATTGCTACAACTTTAACTAAAATAAAAAAAATGAAAATGAAAACTAATTCAAAATATAAATAGAATCTCTACTGGTATCTAAAATAACACATCAGTGAATGTACAAAATAATAATCAGAAAGCAACAGAAAAGCAGTCCATGTGACTCGTATGCTATATTTCAAGTCTTCTGGTGTCATATGATGGCTTACATGGAACGGACCAAATTCAGGTTGTTATTCTCTGAAAACGTGGTCATGATCACTATGTACAAAAACAGAATTCTTCAGCAAATAAATATATCCTATATAAACAGATTTGAAATGATGTGAGGGTGAGTAAATAATGACTGAATTTTGTCTTTAGGTGAAGTACCGCTTTAAACAGCTCACCCAAAAATGAACATTTTATCATCATTTACTCACCCTAATATTGTTCCAAAGCTGTTTGGCTTTCTTTGTTCTGTGGAACACAAAAGAAGATACTTTGAGAAATGTCTCAATGTTCTTTCCCCCCATGCAATGAAAATCAGCGAGGTCCAACATTCTTCAAAATATCTTCTTTTGTGTTCCACAGAACAAAGAAAGTCATGAGGGTGAATAATTGATGCTCATTTTTTGGGTGAACTATTCCTTTAAGAAGTGATTTGGCACAAATTCAGGGCCTCGAGCAATTAATAACATGCTGATTCTCAGAATACAGGGAACTTGTTAGCTTCCAGTAATACTACACAGAGACTCTTCCAGCAGTCCTGCGCAGGGCTGAAATGAACAGTTCGACTCTTTGCTGCAGACAGTAGTGACTCACACGACTGAACCTTGCACTGCGGTCGCCGCTTGGTCAGACCAGTGCACACAAACAAGCTGCTCTGATACTAACTTGCTGTCTAGGTGAGGACAGCAGCACTGGTCAAAGCAAAGTGCATTGTGGGATATGGAGTTTCATGTCATGCAGCAGAGGCTGTGATTGAAACCCTTTAGAGTGGCATGTGTAAACAGTGCACTAAAGTTCTGTCATTGTGATGGGGTAGTGGGGGGGGTTCTCTCTGTGTTCTGAGCACCCCCTCAGCTCAGCATCTCCACCCCCTTTGGTTAATTCATCATGTAAATAGATCAGCAGGCCGGCCTGTGTTTGCTTTGCGTGGGGAGCCCCCCATGCGAGCGAGACAAGAGGGAGAGAGAGGGAATATCTACCAGACGACCAGTTTTTATAAATGTACAGAACAGATCAAGAGGGCAAGGTTAGAGAGACTGAGAGAACGTGCTTTAAGAACATGCAACAAGTACAGGAATATCTCCAAACAGGAATAAACAGGCTTCTTTAATGGAACACAAAAGTGAAAAACGTTCATGCTCTTTTCAATGCAATAAAAGTGAATAAGGATCAACACTGTTGATCTCCAAAAATGACCAAAAAGCATCATATAAGGAGTCTAAATGAGTCATGTGGATTTAGTTGTAAAGACTAAATTAGTAATTTTGCTTTCATGGTACTTTTTTCTCATTTTCAGCTTAACAGCATCTGTCCTCATTCATTGTCACAGAATGAAAAAGAGCAGCACGGACATTCTGTATAACATCTTTTTTTCTGTTTCACAGAAGAAAGTCCGTCATACAAGTATGGAACTTGAAACTAAAGAGGGGTAAATGAGTAAATGGGCAAATGAGGACAAAACTGTCATTATCAAGTGAAAAAATATCCTAAGAACCCAAATCAAAATAAATAAGAAAAATAATTTTATACATAAATACACACACAAAACTGGTCAAAAGTTTGGAATAATCAATAATTTTTTAATGAGAAGTCTCTTTTTGTTTTCTATTTGAACATATTTTAAAATGTAATTTATTCCTGTAATGAAAAGCTGAATTTTCAGCATCATTACCTTCAGTCTTCAGTGTTACATGATCCTTCAGATATCATTCTAATATGCTGATTTGCTGCTCAAGAAACATTTCTTCAAATTATCAATGCTGAAAACAGTTGCGTGCTTAATATTTTTGTGAAAACTGAAAATATATTTTTTCAGAATTCTTTAATGAATAGAAAGAACAGCATTTAAATGTCTTTATGACAAAACATTTGAATGGTAGTGTATCACTGTTTCCACAAAAATATTAAGCAGAACATTTTTGAAAATTATAAATATATCTTCAAAAACATCCTAATCATTCCAGAATTTTGACCGGTAGACTGATAGTTTAACATGGTTTTGGTATGTTGTTTAAACTTTCCCATGTTAAACCAGAAAGCGCATGTCTGTACTCACCTCTGCACTTTCTCATTGGCCTCCCTCTCTCTCTCCTGGGTCAGACACAGCTGGGTCTGAGCGCTCTGAAATTCTGACGTCAGCTGCTGCAGACGGTGCAGCAGGGGATGAATCTGGGTCTGGCTCTGGTTTGAGGTGGCAGGTCTGTCCAGACTGGTCTCATCAGCCTGATGCTGTAGCACACTGAAAACACAGTTTTGATACATAAGTGTAATTAGTGATAGAGTCAGTCATGAATTGGCCATGTTCACTTGGCTGCTTGAAAGAAGTGTTACAACACCTTATGCAAGTAAATAAAAATAAAATAAAAAATAATTTTATATACAGTATATATATATATATATATATATATATATATATATATATATATATACACACACACACCACACATCCCCAACTACTTGCATATTCATTAATTTTTATATAATTGCATTTTTGAGACATTTTGGTTGCTTTAATAAAATATAAAATGGCTTACTTGATAATACCTTTAACTGTCAAGAGTTTAACATTTTTAAATTCATTAAGCAGAATTCTGCATATTTTGCCCTTTATTAAATGTAAAATAATGTAAAAACAGGGCACAGATTATGCATTGGCCAAGTTTTACATTTAAAACACAACAAACCGTAATATAAACGCCATATGTGACGCTGGACCACAAAACCAGTCTTAAGTCGCTGGGGTATATTTGTAGCTATAGCCAAAAATACATTGTATGGGTCAAAATTATAGATTTTTCTTTTATGCCAAAAATCATTAGGATATTAAGTAAAGATCAGGTTCCATGAAGATATTTTGTAAATTTCCTACCGTAAATATATCAAAACTTAATTTATGATTAGTAATATTCATTGCTAAGGACTTCATTTGGACAACTTTAAAGGCGATTTTCTCAATATTTAGATTTTTTTGCACCCTCAGATTCCAGATATTTAAATAGTTGTATCTCGACAAAATAGACCAAATATTGTCCTATCCTAACAAACCATACATCAATGGAAAGCTTATTTATTCAGCTTTCAGATGATGATTGAAAAATTGACACTTAAGACTGGTTTTGTGGTCCAGGGTAAAATATAAGCTTACATTTTATTAACAAAACTTACACTCTAAAACTGCACTGTTAACTGCAATTGCTTTTAGTTTTAGTGCTACATCTACCTGATTTAACCCATAAAAATGAGTTTTGTTGGTAGAAATTAATGTATTTAGGTTGATTCAGCAATATTAACTAATTTTTAACTTGACCGGGTAATTTATATGTTTAGGTTACTATGTTTTCAGTAGGCAACATAGATTATATGATTGTTTATGAATGAAAAAAATATTAACTAAAATGAACTGAACCGAATTTGTAAGTGTGTTAATTTCCAAGTAATACCAATTTTAATGCCAATTTTAACCTACAAAACTACATATCTTTGTTATTCATCGCACACTTCAATAGATCCTCAGGAAAGACAATCATCAAAATTACAAGAACAATATAACGGCTGACTTGACGGTGTAGCATCAGGCTCATGTTTCATAAACCAGAAGGAGAAATGCCAATGGTCAAATTTCTTACACAAACATGAAACTTGACCCAGACACAGAGAGAGCATGCTTGCAGTTTACCTGGAGGTGGGGAATCATAACTCTATATCAACAGACACATCTAATATTCAAACGGAATGTCAGTACAAGAAACAATATCTGGGGCTAATAATTCCTCAGAATGTCAGCAGAATACATTAGCACTCTCATGGCGCTGCATCCAACTCGAGGTGAAATTCAGACAGGTGTTTTTCAACAAGGCGTGAGATAACGAGGGTCAAGATAAAAATGGAAGGGTAGGGGCGACGTTGAGCGATACATATCAAACTAACCAACGAACACGAGCAGAACTGTACAACCACCGCCAAAAGCTCCTATGAAGTAATAGTAATAAATTGAAATACCGCTAACTGTCAGAAAAAAACAAATTAACTTCTTGAGAAAACAGACGTTCCAAAGAATAAACATTTCTAATGAAAACATGATGCAGCTTTCCAGTGCAAATCAAAGCCACCAAAATGCTAAAGTGTTGCCAAGGCATTCCTGTATTTGACATGGCATTTACAGTTCAGGTGATTGCACGCATTAAATGCCCATGCCAATGTTCAAAGATGATTGTGTGCTTTCAGAGCTGCATGCAGCAGTCAAATAATTGCCATAAAAAATGCTAACAGATAACTTTCTCCACATTATTTTTAATGTGAGAGAAGGTGCAGCTGCTTGTAACTTGAAGTTGCGAGGCTTACGTTGTCATTCCCTTCCAGCTGATTGGCTGTTAACCTTTTTTTGTACATCAGCTGGAAAAACTCCTTTTGAAAGTGATTTCAATGATATTGTTCCTCTGTGCAATTAACGTTCCTCTATGGAATTATCTGCTATTCTTTTAAATCGGAATTTCGAACGATTTTTCTTTATCGTTATAGTTTTCGTCCTTAGTGTGAACGGCCTAAAGTTACACATTTTGAGATTTCATTCATGAGTTTCATTCGCTTCTAATTATTTTACCTGTACAAAAACAGTCCAATATAGTGCTTTATATTGCAAATTAGTATTTGTTATCATAATATTGGAATTTATTATCACAACCCTAAACAGACCTATATTTACATAGCGGGTAATACATCGTAAGTCTTGCTCATTCAAAGAAATGGCTTTCTCTTTCTTGCTGAATAAGGTGGATAGACTTTCTTGGTTGCTATGTGGTTACATACTCTACGTCTAATAGATTTGATCCCGTTTTATTGTTTGTCAAATGAAAAGTAATTTTGTCTCCCCTTAACAAGCCCCATTATATTGTTAAATGCTTAAATGAGCTTAAAAAGCTGCCAACAAACTGCAGAGGACTAATATGCTTTAATATGACACCAAGAGCACGGAGAAGCCAATATCAAGTCTAAATAATGATAACACCTGCTCCCCTTTATATTCAAGCAGAAACAAGATGAACGGCTGTAATAACACACACAGGTACGCTGTGCTCATCTGCGACCACAGACATACAGAAAACCACAGCACTATTAAGTGGGCATTCATATTAGCCAGGGAAACAATGCATTTAGTACAATGCCACGATTAGCTGACAATACAAAACGTCTGTCTGGCTCGCATGCCTGCATGTGTCTATAGTGACAGAGAACTTCAAGATTGATTGGCAGCAGCTTTTGTCTTTTGGCTTTAGCCAATGTGCCTGTGTGTTGTAGCCCTAAAGCCATATTACTCATTGAGTCTTGCTAATTAGTTCCAGGAAGGTTTCCATGTCAGTTTCTTCCTTTGTTTTTTATTTTTTTAAGGCAGGAGGTAATCAATTCTGATGCGATATTGATGGTCGGGAAAGTGATGTAAAGTTGTGTGCTTTGTTTAATTAAATGCAAACATATTGGGTACAAAGGTCCAATGACAGTGACAAACAAGGGCAGAGAAGCATTGCCACACTATGGATTATCTTATCTAAGTCCACCCACCCCCTCACAGACACAACTGGTCCATCCTGGTTCCCACTTTATGAGAATGATTATACTAGGATATATGATGTTCCTGTCCAGCTCAGAGGAATGGGGATGCAAGTATGATGGAGCTCCATAAACAGGAACATAAACGCAACCTGTCTAGTACACAGTTCACTACATAGAAGCTGTGACAGATGTGTGAAATGATGTGTTATATGATTATACTACACTCTTAAAAATAAAGGTTCTAAAAGGGTTTGAAGCAATGGCATACAAGAAACATTTTTGGTTCCAGGAACCTTTCAAGTGAACCATTTTTATGTAATATTTTAATAATCTGAAGAACTTTTTCCCACTATAAAGAACCTTTTGTGCAATGGAAAGATCGGATGGATGTTAAAGGTTCTTCATGGAATCACAGAAACATTTAAGAACCGTTATTTTTAAGAGTGTACATATAAGAATTAAAATTGACTGAAAATTGACTAACCTTCAGGCCATCCGAGAAGTAGATGAGTTTATCTCTTCAGAAAATATTTAGAGAAATGTAGCATTACATCACTTGCTCACCAATGGATCCTCTGCAGTGAATGGGTGCCGTCAGAATGAGAGTCCAAAAAGAAGATAAAAACATCACAATAATCCACACAACTCCAGTCCATCAATTAATGTCTTGTAAAGTAAAAAGCTGCATGTTTTTAAGAAACAAATCCATAATTAAGGCATTTTAACTTTAAAATGCATAAGAATGATTCTTGTGGTGAAAAAGTCCATCCCCTGTTATCCTCTCACATCAAAATCCACTGACATATTTGGTCAGAACTTTTTTGGACTCTTTTTGCTTGTAAAAGGTACTTGATTTGTGTACATTTCTCTCCTTATTCAGACAACTTTTTCACTGGAGAAAGCGATATTAGAGGACTCACAAAACAGCTTTTTAAAGTTAAAAGACCTAATATTGCATTTATTTACTACAAACTTGTAGCTTTTCACTTCACAAAACATTAATTGATGGACTGCGGTTGTGTGGATTACTTGTGGATAATTGTGATGTTTTATCTTTTGTTTGGACTCTCATTCTGACGGCACCCATTCACTGCAGAGGATCCATTGGTGAGCAAGTGACGTAATGATAAATTTCTCCAAATCTGTTCTGATGAAGAAACTCTTCTAAATCTTGGATGGCCTGTGGGTAAGTACATTTTTACAACTATTCCTTAACGTATGAGCAACAGTAACAGTGACAATGAAAACCCACTAATAAAAGAAATACTAATAACTCCTCTTGTACATTTAAAAATCCTATTCACTGCATTCAACCAAACATATGCTACTCGTTAAAAACAGCAGTGTATGTTGGTCTAGTTATAAAGGTTGCCAGACAGACGACCTGAGGACTCTGTTAAACATTAACCAGAACCATAAGATACCTGATCACAGGGGTGGGATCCCAACAAACCTGCCCTCTAAATCTACAGGCCAGTTAAACATTAACACCGCCACAAAATGCTATCAGATGGGAAATGTAAAATAACCTTTTAATAGAGAGCATTTATCTACAGCCAAAGCAGAAACAGACATTCTACTGACAGGTGTCTAGAGCAACCTGACGTGGATATAAGCTAACTACCGACCACATCCCACCGTCAACCATTCCTTACACCAATCACTCATGCTGACAGTTGCTGATAAAGTCTG